CTGGACTCTGTCTTTGACTTCAAAGCATAATGTTTTCTTTCTTTTCTGTTTCTTCCTTCTGTCTTTTCTTTTTCTTCCAGGCAAGGTCTCACTATGTAGCTCCAAATGTCCTTGAACTTGCAGAGATCTGCCTGCCTCCACTTTCCACTATGCCCAGGCCTACTAAAGGTTTTGTATTGTATTGAAATTTATTTTTTAGTGCTTTGCCTGCATGTATGTATATGCACTATGTGTGCCCAGTATCTGAGGAGTTCAGAGGAGGGGATGGATGCCCTAGAACTAGAGATAGAGATGTTTTTAAGCCTCCATGTGGGTGCTAAAAACCAAACCTGGTTCTTGGAAGAACAACGGCTTTTAACCACTGAGCCACTTCTCTAGCCACAAGTAGAGAGTTTTAAAAAGATGAAAACTTCTAGACAGGTATGAGAACGTCCTACAGTCAAGTCATTTCACTCATTTTTATGGCCCGACTGGCCTTTTTGGGTATGAGCTTGAGACTCCAGGTCTACACAGAGCTTATGTGAGATCACTGGGGTGGGGGAGGGATAAAACAAGGAGAAGAAACTCAGGAAGTAGCTGATGCAAATGTCCAGGAGCAGCAGCAAATATGGAAATTTGAAATTAATTAAAACAGGAAAGGAACTTGGTAAAAGAAACATGTCAATCAAGATTTGTTAACTAACCAGAAATGTAAAAAGCAGTCTGAAAACAAGAGGCAGAAATGACGCCATCTGGCACAATTTAAAAATGGACAACCCCAGGTTTTCCTTGGGGACTAGTTAGAGAGCAACACAAATCAGGGGTCAACCATTCCCACCCCTGGTGTTCTTGGAAGCCAAAATGTGACCAAGCTATATCCCTGCTTCCCTGAATTCACTCTGAGCAAAATCGCCATGGTGGCTGTTTCTATGGCTCTTCTTTTCTTTTCCCAAGACCTATGGAAGAGTCATCTGCATGACTCCCCCCAACACTGCTGCTTAAAGGAATCCCACAGCAGCTAACCTTTCTTAAAGCTTTAATTTTAAAATTGTGTGTGTGTGTCTGAGTGTGCACCCGGGCACACATGCAGAGGTCAGATCAGGACACCTTGAGACAGGATCTCTCACTAAACTTGGGGCTTGCCAATTTTTAGCTAAACTGGTTGGCCAGCAGGTTACAGTAATCCTCCTGCCTCCCTGCAAGGCATGACCACCTCCTCAGCACGACTGACTAAAGGTTTATCCACTAAGACACCTCCCCAGCCAACGGTTAATTTAAAAATGTATTTTAGTTTTGAGGCAGGAAACTTACAGCCTGTCTGGTGCTGGGATTACGGGTGTGTGCTACCACACGAAGCTTTACCTGTGTTTTCAATCACTGCACCTATATCACTGTGGAACTCAATGGAAGTCAATCACAAAAGTTATTAAGTGTTGCCTGACACTGCACAGTACTAGATGTTTTTCTTACAAAAATCTGTAAATAAACCAGGCATGGTATGGAACAGTTATAATGTCAGTACTGGGAGACTGAGGCAGGAGGGCTGCAAGGTAAAGAAAAGCAGCTTAAGTTACACAGGGAGACTCTGTCTCAAAAAACCAAAAATCTGGGCCAGAGTTAGGTCCTCCCACAAGCTGTCCTCAGCTCCATGGTACATGTGTACCCAAACCCACAAACAATAAGTAAATGAAAGCAATAAAAATGAAAATAAAAAACCCCGAAATCTATGGATGGAGATAAACATGTCTAATTTTTTTTTCTTAAAAGAGTGGAGACAGCACTGATGACAACAGGTCATGTAATTTTTAATAAGAAAAAGAAAACAGCAATGCTTCAGATATTAAACTGGCAAAAATATTCCTGGGTTTGAAAAAAGCTTACCAAGTCCAGAAAGCCTCATTTACAAATGAATCTATACTCAAGAACCAAAATGCTGGAGACATTTTTCTTTCTTTCTGAGGTGAACTAATTACTTCATTTTATAGGATGAATCTTAGTCTAAAACAACATGACAAGTGGCTGCTGATAGTTACAAAACCAAGTTCTCCTGGAGCCCAAACTCAGTAATGCAGAGTGACAAGAGAAAGCAGCTGGCAAAGAGAGGACGCCGGGTCCTATGAGGTAACCAAGAGCTTCAAGCAGAAGGGAACCCTTAGAGGGCAGAGTCCTGGGCAGGGAGAGGTGCCAGGAGAAGAGGAAGGACCAAAAGTGACAGGCAGTATCATGTGGACAGGCAGGTGAGCTGCTCCCAGCAGCAAGAGCAGGGAAGCCACACAATCAGGTTCCAGGCTGCAGTGACAGTGGGGAGCCCCTACAAACCAAGATTCTTATTAGACTACAGTGCCAACAGAGCCAGGCAGATAACTCTGTAGAAGTTTGCTGCAAGCACAAAGCAAAAACTGGTTTAAAGTTACATTTGTACTCAAGTCAAAATTAAAGTTTAGAATTTAATTTTTAAAACTTAGGGGCTGGGTGTGTGTAGCTCAGCAAGAGTATTACCTAGCATATTCAAGACCCTGTGATCTATCCCCAACACAAACAAACCAAAAATGTGTTATAATTGTTTAATTACAGTAATCCCAGCACTTGGGGGGGGGCAGGAGGATCAAGAGTTTGAGGCTACCTCAAATGTTGGAAGCCAACTTGAGACTGTCTCAAAACTGACAGATAAACAAATAATGCATATGTGTCTGTGTGTATAAATAATTACACTTATAAGGAAATCTATGTTTAACCTGTTCACTTAACCCAAAGTTTTACTTTTATAGTATTAAGAAAACTCTAAAGTATTAGTGATTTCTTTTAGCTTAAGACTCTTGCAGACAGACAGATTTTATTAAAATGTGTTCAAAACAGATATTGGCACAAGTATTCAGAAAGGATATCTAAAAACTTATTTACTACCACCATAGAGCATGCTGTATTTGTTAACTGAATGTTGCATAGCTTTGGAGCATGTCCTGGAACTCACTCTATAGACCAGGCTGGCTTCAAACTCATAGAGATCCACCTGCCTCTGCCTCCTGAGTGCTGGGATTAAAGGTGTGGCCACCATCATCTGGTGCTTTAGGGGTTTTTATACAGCAAAACTGAACAGACCAATACATTTTAAAAAGGAGACCATGATGCACTAACGTCTCAACGAGACAACTTTCAACTCTACAGACAATTTCCTAGCCACAGTCTCATGGGAAAAGAGCTGCTGTACTGTGACCAGGAAAAGAAAATCCCATTTGACCGTAACATCCCTAGTTGGATGACCCCTGTGCAGAGCTCGCCTCGGAACAGACTGAACTCTGGTCCAGTGCTTCATCATCAGCTCTGCTGTCTCTCAAATATTTTCAAAGTTGTGCTAAGATATGTAACATAAAGGTATCATTTTATCCCTTTTTATATACAGTTCAGTGTGTTATATTCAAATGTTGTAATCCATCACTGCCAACTACCACCTAACTATACCATCACCTTGGACAGATACTCAGTATACACCGAGCAATACTGAACGGTTCTGGTAAGAGAAAATTAAGACACAAAAATCATAGTTTTGTGAGAACCATTTGACAATCAAATAGCCTGGTAAAAGTAAACATGGGAATAACTACTGAGCTTAAGGCTTTACTTAAAAATCCAGTTTTGTCAAAAAATTAAAAAGGAAAACCATGGTTTATAGGAAATGAACTAAACAGTAATAGGACAATGGTCTCAGGAAGCTTGTCCCTGCTCCATTCTTTAATTAAATTAACATATAACTTGTTATCTATTTTTGCTTTCTTTTTCTACTTCCTTCCTGAATTCACCTTTTTCAAAGACAATGCTGTTAGAATACAGTGGGTATACATGAGAATTTTAGGGGGTTGAGACAATGTCTCACTCTGGTTTTTCGAGACCAGGTTTCTCTGTGTAGCTTTGGAGCCTATCCTGGCACTCGCTCTGGAGACCAGGCTGGCCTGGAACTCACAGAGATCCGCCTGCCTCTGCCTCCCGAGTGCTGGGATTAAAGGCGTGCGCCACCAACGTCCCAATGTCTCACTCTGTAGCCAAGGCTGGCCTCAAACTCACAGTGTCCCTCCTGCCACAGCCTGCCCAAGGCAGGGTTTACAGGTGTGAATGAGGGCAACGGCCAACTTCAAGGGAGGAAAAGAACAGAAAAAGCATCCTCACTTAACCAGCAAAAGTGGGGAGTGGGGAGTGAGGGGGAGAAGAGGGAGAGGGAGAGGGAGAAGGGGAGAGAGAGAGAGAGAGAGACAGAGAGAGAGAGAGGAAGAGAGAGAGACAGAGAGAGAGGGAGGGAGAGGGAGAGAGGGAGCAAGGGGTCCAGGAGGTTGGTGAGCCTGAGGCCCCGCCCTAGATCTGCCCACTGTGACTTCTCTTCCCCCACTGTCTCCCTTCCAGAGGGCAGGGCACCTGCTATGGCTTTTTATCTTTGTTTTTCTAGATTTACTTTTTGTATGTGTCTTTTCTTCCCAGGGCTTTTAAAATTCTCTTATTAAACAAAGGACAATAATCATCTTTCTTTGCTGTTATTTTTTTCTTTCTGTTTAATAGCTTAAAAATTCATCAAGCACCTCCCAGTATCATTATTTTAAAACCTTGACTCTGTTAAGTCTGTTTCTAACCATTTAAGATGCACACTAACCCACTGAAGGAGCAGGGAGCACATACCAGGTTTTGTTTTCTGCGGGTATGAGGAGAAATAGTTCCTTACTCAAGTGTGACCAATCTTGTCTTCATCTGAGCCCCTAAGGGTGTGAAACTGAACTCACAAGGTTGAAAAGGAAAAACGGCGTTCATAACTGTGCCTCTGTGTCTAGAGGGAGACAGGGCAGCTTCCTCAACTGTAAACACAGCAATGACTGAAAGCCACCTAATTCAACATGTACAAGTAACTTAACAATTAACATTTATGTTAACTGAAACATTCATCTCAAGCTTAAAACCAGAGAAAACTCATGAAAACAAAGCAACAGTTTGCACGTGTGAGAATTCATCTTAGTCTAGCTGTTACTACCTCCCTGTCTTACCTCAGCGATCTCTATCTTCTTGGCCAGATCATCAAGGGAGAGCGAGCTCTCGTCAGGAGGCAGGCTCTCCTGGAGACTGTAGGATGCTTCTTCAGGAGAGAGGTCTTGGAGGAGGTCAGAGTCCTCGTCCTGGATGTCTTCATAGGAGAGGGACTCTTCGGCGTCTTTTAAGCATCCTTCCAGAAGGCTGTTCAGATAGTCTTCTGTTTCCTTACTGACTTCGTCTTCCTTATCCCGCCCTTCTTCTGGGGCCATGCACACTTCTGGACACAGTGTCCTTACGTCAGACGCTTTACTGTCACCACAGAGTGCATTCTCAGAGCCAGGCTCCAAGTCAGTCTGACTGTGTGGTGATTTCCCATCAGTGGCTGGGAGGTGAGGCTGCTGTGACTCGTCCAATTCACTGCTCTGAGGCTGGTCCCTGGGCAGAGCTTCAAGTACACCCTGAACAGGGAGGCAGAGCTCTTTTCGGTGCGTCTCTGAATATTTACCCTCTGAAATCAACACAGGAGGTATACTGTCACCACTCGGGGAGAGCTGCGGCTCTGTCACTGACTCACTAGGAGGAGACCCCTTAGGGTCCTCGGCCACCCCGGGGTGGTCCTCTGTGGGAGGCTCCTGCAAGCAGCTGTCATCCTCACAGGCACTCTCTGCAGCATCTGGCCCTGACCTGCTCCTGGCTGTCTCTGGGGACTGGGTGTTGGCATTGGTGCTAAACAGGGGCTCCTTCCCTGCAGTTACTGGAAGGCTGGGGGAAGCTGCCTGCCAGTCCATTTGATGAGAGCTGGGGCTGCTCTCCTGGGGCTGTTCTTCATGCTGGCCTCGGCTTGGTTCCATGCCAGGACAGGTTTCAGTCTCTGCAGATGAAGAAGAAGGGAGCTGCTGTTGAATTCCAAACAATGCTTTGATATCGAGGCAGAGAAGGGGCAGAAGCGTACATGTGTAACGAAAACTGACGCTAACCCTCTCGGACAGACGCTGCCTGTTGTGCTGCAACACAACCTATGTCCTTAGGTAGAACATGCTTGCTAAGGGTTTAATAAATAGTGTTAATGCAGTAAAAAATAATGAAGAGTCTTCAGAAGCATGTTAAATGAATCGTTCAGTCATTATAAGTGAAAAGTTTAAATTCTGAATTTTGTCTTTTACATTTAAACAAATACACTTGTTTTTTGTTTGTTTGGTTTTTTTGTCTACTAAAGCTAGAAAAGTTTTTTACTTCTACTTAAGGCATAGCATATTGAGTAAATATTTTTAGACAACCTTAGTAATAATATAAAAGGTAAGTAGAACTAAATTTAATCAGAATGAACAAAAGTTTGTTCAGATCAAATTTGCAATTTGAACATAGTGTCCTGAAAATGTGCTTTCAAAGACAATTTCTTAGTTCCTGGAAGCAAAGGGGACATAAAAAGGACACATTTTGACAATAAGTAGAAACAGGTTTGAATTTTAGCCTTTCTATTTCTTTACAACAGTTAAAACCTTTTATGTAAATTACAATTGGAAATGCCCATTTGTTAAGAGAGAAGCCTTCTCATGAAGGCCTATAATTCCCACAAATAAGAGTCAGAAGTGCATGATAAATGAATAATTTTATTGCTTTTCAATTTTAATTTATTGGAACTTCAATTACCAACTGACAATCCACGTTGAGTCCCTAAAACAGACCAGACATTTTTAAAGTACTGTCTCAGATGCCTGGGAAGCCGGAACTGGGCTGGCAGCCTCAGCTCTAAATGTGGAGGTGGCATTAGGAGTTCTGGGTTCTTCCGCCCCCAGCTTTAACTATCAGAGAGGACCAGAAAGAGCTGGCCATCTCTGGAGAGTCCTACATCCCTGCTGTCTCCCACTCTCAAGGTTTGATTGCAGGAGAACAGGTGGGCAGCTGGTTCCCATGGGTTGTGTGCTTTGTCCCTGGGCATTCCCTTGTCAGATGGCAGGGTGTGGGGTGAGGGTCAGAACAAGAAAGGCCACAGCCAGTCAGAAAAGGGTCAAGCTCAGTCATAAATTCCCAGTACCCAACAGTTCAGAGAGAGCCTTCAAAACACATTGGTAGGATTCAGAGACTCAATGAGACTGGGGAGCACAGACCCTAGGTCCTGATTCATCACAAGGTTGAGGATTGCCACATAAGGGAGAGCTTGATAAACAACAACGACAAAATATGACGTAGGATGCAAAGTGTTAAGAATATTAATCTGTGCTGGAAAGTCTTCCACGGTATTGACAGTTTCCTTTAAAACACACTATTTTATCAAGCTGGGGCAAGATTCCTTCCTTGTCTAGGATTCAGTCCACACTCCTTCATGGATATTAGCACACGTTTAGATTGTTGAAGGCAGTGATAATCCCTACAGCTGACTCAGCTAAAGCATGAGGTATTCACTTGGAAGCCAGAAGATCCAGGTTCTACCTATGAATCGGGGCACCAAACAAATGGCTGTAAACGTGCGGCTTCAGCTTCCCCATCTGTGCCACATAGACCACAGCAGAGCAAAAACAAAGCCAGTGCTAAGCTGTGTCTACAGGATCTTATACAGCCCAGGCCAAGCTGGAACTCACCGGGTAACCAAGAACTCCTGCCCTTCCTGCCTGCACCTCTCAGTTCTGGGATTATAGGTGTACACCATCATGTCTACTGAGTTGTAACAAAGCTTATTTTATCCTGTTTCTGATCTAGAAATGACCAGAAAGGAAACACAAAGAACACAGCATGTGGGGCTGACTCAAGCAACATCCCTAATTTGTGTGGTAAGAGAGAAGGGAATGAAGACTTCAAAATGACTTTACAACGGAAGGCACTAATGGATGACACCAGCACATCTATCTGTATTACCAGGGACAATCACTCAAAACTCCCGTCTCCTTTTAAATCAGGGCTCCCAGGCCCAGGATCATAAGGCTAATAATATAAATTGATCATATAAAAATATTCCGAAAACACACTTATTCCTAAAATTTTGCAAATACATTTTGAAAGAAGTTTCCCAAGTCTTTTGATTGAGTCACAAAGTGGTATAAAACACATTTTAAATGGCTAAGAAACACACACACACAACACACACATACACTCACACATACACAAAACACACACACACAGTATATGTTAGTGCTATAAATTATCCATACAGAACTTCTCATTATCTAGATTTATAGAAAAGGTTAGTACATTTAGTAATAATTGTTCTTTTTCCTTTTTAAGCAAGAAAGGATATTTAAACACACCCAAGCATTTCAGACAATTTTTGTATCATCTTTTTCATATTCTCTTTTCCTTATTGATAACACAAATTATTTTGCTTTTTAAAAGAATTTATATTCTATTACTTCTAGTTATCTAAAACTGGAAATACATATAAAAATGTGGGTTTAATATTTTTTATAAGTGTACATATAAAAAATCTAAATGCAAAAAAAAAATCTAACACAACCATTCAGATCTAATACTTTAAAATGCCAGCAGTAACAGGCCTCCCGTCTCTTCCTCTACAGTATAACCTGCAACGGACCTGGTTCTTTGGCTGTTGCTCCTCTTTCCTTTGGCTCTTCAGACACTGTCACCCTCGAAAAGCATTTTCTTCCCAGTGACTTTTCCACAGGTGCTATCTAAAAAGTTTTCAAAAGGGAAAAAATTAATCACAACTTTTTTGAGAAACTGTTGCATTCAATTAGAAAATTGCAAGTGTGCTGAGAAAAGGTTTTCTAGAATAGTCTGGGCCCAGGTGTAAGATGCTGACATGCTCCCCGTGAATGATTCCAGAAGAACACCTCTTACCTTATGCTTGGCCAACAGAGGGCTGTAGAAAAGAAGAAAAACATAGTTTTAAAAGTACAGCATGCTTCCAAACAAATGTCACCGAAACAAATATAAAAAAAAATAGAGCTTCTCTGAGTTCTAATATTAGCGCAGGACATTTATTCCCAGGGCTGAAACACTGCCACCAGCTTCCGTGGTTCAAAGGACAGCTCCAGCATGTGTGCGTTTCCTCAAACAGCCAGTTACCACTGAGAGCCTCAGACACATCCCATGTGCGTCTTGCACCCACACATGTCACAATTTCAGTTTAACACAGACTATGGCAGAAGATAATTATGTTGGAATTACCCAGGGATAGACAAGTAACTTTCAAACATTAGGTTTTAAAGAGTATCATGCCAACAGTATGCCAATAAAGGCATGGAAGAAAGAAATCCCAGCTTTAATACTACCATAATACTTGGAATCAGGAAACAGCTTGAGGCCGGGCGGTGGTGGTGCACGCCTTTAATCCCAGCACTCGGGAGGCAGAGGCAGGTGGATCTCTGTGAGTTTGAGACCAGCCTGGTCTACAAGAGCTAGTTCCAGGACAGCCTCCAAAGCCACAGAGAAACCCTGTCTCGAAAAACCAAAAAAAAAAAAAAAAAAAAAAAAAAAAAAAAACAAACAGCTCAAATGTCTACAAATGAAGGAAATGGGCAGGTAAACTGCCCCACGGTCACACGATAAACAGGTACAACAGTAACACAGCCAAACTGACACTGGATGTGATAAAGTATAACCCAGAAACAATGGCAGGCTGAAGGATCTAGAAACAATAACTGTTTTTTGCATGACCCATTTGTATGAAATCTGAGGCACATAAACCCACAGAACTCAGTTACCATCATAGGGGAGGGAAGAGGGAAACGTGGACTTGGTACTTCAAGGGAGGGGTCTTCTGAGAGGTTAGAATGTTTGTGTCGTGGATCCTGTTAGGAGTGCTAGTAGGGAAAAATTTACCAGGCTCTCATACCCTGAACTATAAATAATGAGACATAATCTGGGGTCCAATGATCTAAAGATACCGTGTTCATAGCATGCTCAAGTAAATACTTCAAATATTTATGACACACTAACAAGCTGTGAGTTCCTTCAGGAGCGTAGAGGGAGGGGTCTGCACTGAGTATATTGAAAGTAAATAAATTACCTTTGAAGGCTCCTACTCTTTTAAATGTCATAAAAATGGAAATACAAAATAGAAAGCTAACGCAGGAACTTACTAAGAAAATGAGTTACAGTTCAGAATCCCTGAAGAGCCTGCTGCACAGATTCAAACTGCCTTAGCACAGGAGACCCATCTTTGGAGAGCTGAAGGGACACTTCCATCCCAGCCTCTATCACCTTCCAAGGATGGCCTCCAGGATGGCCACCCAAGCAATGCCCTCTCTTCTGCAATTACTGGGGACTATTTCATTACCAACACACAGAGCTTTAGTTTCCTGCTCAATATTCTGAAGAGGAGACAAAGTTACCAAATGAACAGAGAGCCCTTTATCCTTTGTGCAGGGGACTCAAGACAGAAGCCTGAGAGATGGGCACTATGTAAACACTGTTTGTTGCGCTCCTTTCCCCTTCAGATCTCTGAGCGGTCAAATGAGGAATTCAGAACAAAGATAAGTAGAACAAAAAATAACAAGCTTTATTATTAGGATAATTTTTTAAAAGATTTCATCAAAGTTTAAAAACTTGTCTTGGAGAAGAGAATGGGGAGGGGATTTGAGAGCTGTCTTTGTGACAGAAAAGGAGGGGGATCAAGCAAGAGGGGAAAAGCCTGAGCAGGAAGAAGGATGATTTAGTTTTAAAAGTCTATCTCCTTGACACAAATCAGGCAACTGGAAAGTACCCGGTAATGAAGTTTTCCTTGATTTAGATTAAATATTGCACACTGTGCTTTTTAGACTATACCTTTGACAAGGGTTACAACTTTTCTTATCACATACAAACACCAGAAAATAGCCTAAACAACAATAATCAACATACAGAAATAGATATTTATTAAAATTAAAGTAATAAAATAACAATTAAAAAACAAACAATAAAAGTCCTAATGTGCAACCCAGATCATTTGGCTTGCTGATCTCTTAGTCAAAAAAATACCAAAATTATCAGTGTGTCTAGTTAGAAGGCTCCCCAAGCCCATGGAAACCTAGCAAGGTCAGCAGAAAACAGAAAAAAAGCTGAGAAAGACCCCTTTACATTCCATTATACTCAGTTCAATTTCTTACGAAGAAAACAGAAATGGATCACACACTTCAATACTCAATGTAATGCATATCTTCAATATTCTCCCACTTTAAATAAATTATGACATACTTACTCTTGATGAGTTGTGCAAATTTTAGCAAGCTGTTCGAAATCTTCACCATTAAATCCCTTTTCTGAATTCCTCAGAGGCGGCACTGTATGTGGCTGGACAGCTTTCCATTTTGTTTCTAAATTTAAAACATTTGTTAATCACTGGCTCTTACAAAATGTATTTAGGCTCCACTGGAATAATTAATATATGGTTACCTTCTCAAGCAACCCAAAAAGTTAACACAGAAAGAGCTAAATGATTATTTCACAGTATGTGTAAACACCATTCTACAAACAAAATTAGCCAGGAGCGTATGCAGAAGAAATGACAACAGAGCTATGAAGAGCAGGGTACAAAGAAAATACCGTCTGCCTTCTGCCTCTCTCATGGTGCCGGGGGAACTCACAGCCCTGTACTTGCTAGGCAGGCTCTCAGACACTAAGCTGCATGGGCCTGTGCTTTGTAACAGTAACTTGACTGTGTAACTTCTATTCTTTTAACATGCAAAATCAGGACAGTATGCTCAGTTTCTAGATAGCGAGTTGTTACATTACTGCTAACTCCAAGCTCCAGTCAGTCTGTACTTACCCCACTGTTCTTGAATGGCAGAAAGATTTGCAAGCAGTTGCTCATGATACAATCGTTCAAGCTGAATGAATTTCATTGCTTTCTCATCTGAATAGAATAGTTGAGGAAAAGACATCAAGACTGCCTACATGAAACCCCACGTTTGCAAAGGAATGTCCTATAGAAGACAAGAAATGTGCACCTCTGACAAAAAAACAAACAAACAAAACAAAAATGGGAAGGTTCAAAATATTTTAAATTTAAGCACATCTGACGTGAGGTCTCCTGGCTTTGAAGTACATTTTTTTAAATGTTCTTTTTTTTTTTTAAAAAAATTATTATTTATTATGTATACAACATTCTGCTTCCATGTATATCTGCACACCAGAAGAGGGCACCAGATCTCATTATAGATGGTTGTGAGCCACCATGTGGTTGCTGGGAATTGAACTCAGGATCTCTGGAAGAGCAGTCGGAGCTCTTAACCTCTGAGCCATCTCTCCAGCCCGAAGTAAGTACATTTTATCGTAACACATGATGTAGAGTACTTGAGCAAAGAGACACAAAAGGTTTTACTCAAGGACTGTCCATCTGGCAATGCACCGGCAGCTGTCATTAAAGCCATCTACTTGGAAAGAGGACCACAGGGGATCCTAGAGTCTGTGTTTTCCTTAATTTCCCTCCTTAAATGACTCCCTGACTCTGAGACCCTTCAGGCAATTGTCTCTTTGTGATTTCATGATCCTTTACTTACTTTTTATTGGACATTTTTCTCCCCAAGTCAAAAGTATGAAATGCTAAATAGTGGAAACATGGGATGGTTCTTTTATAAAAAAAACTAACTTACTCCAGTGACTTTCCTAATTATCACAGAATTCCATTTTTTTTGATTTGGTTGATCTTCTTATGACCTTTTAGATTTCTATCTGTACCACACAAACTTGCATCTTAGGAGGTTGAGAAACACTGACCAAATGCCCAGCTTCCTCTGGGCAATGTTATAAATGCTGACCCAGAAAAAAGGAAGAGAGGATCGGAAGGTTTAGCTTTGTGTCCTTCCCATGAACACCAAGAGGTTCGGCTCTCCCTCTCTGTCCCCTTAAGGATGGATCCTTGGGACCAGGAAGGGACCACAAATAGAACAACTCCTCTGATCCCTCTGCCCAGGACCAAATGCTCCCTTTTCCAAAGCTTACATGGGATCTCCTTGAAAACATTATTTAGTTGGTTGCTAGTGAAGATTTACATACAGCCATTCATCATGAGACATTTCTGTCAGTGAGGAACTTTTAAAAGGAAAAGGGATCCACAGGGATGACCCCAAATAAGAATCCAAGCAGTGGTGGGGAAAATGCCATTGATGCCCTTCCCCTATAATGAGACTGGTGTCTACCTTGATTACCATTCCTAGAGCCTTCATCCAGTAGCTGTTCGAAGCAGAAACAGGCACCCACAGCTAAGCACTGAACCAGACCCCTGGAATCCAGTTGTGGAGAGGGAGGAGGGATGAGCCAAGAAGTTGAGACAGTGCTGCAGAAACCCACAGAAACAGTTCACCTGACCTAGTGAGAGCATGGAGACCCAAGTCATAAAGCTGGGGAAACAGCATTGGACCGAACCAAGCCCTCTGAATGTGGGTGGCAGCTAGGAGGCCAAGACAGTCTATGGGACCTCTAACAATGGAGCCAGTCTTTATCCCTAGAGCACAAATAGACTTTGGGAGCCCATTCCCTATGGAGGGATACTATTGTAGCCCATATACAGCAAGGAGGGCCTAGGCCCTCCCCCCGAATGGTATGACAGACTTTGAAGGACCCTGGTGGAGGGCCTCACCATCCCTGGGGAGGAGTTGGGGGATGGGTGGGTGGGGGTTGGTGGGGAACATGGGAGGATGGGAGGGCAAGGGAATGGGGGGATGGATATGTAAATATGAGTAATAATTAAAGAATTTACAAAAAAAAAAGGTAAATTCTAATTGCACGATGATGCAGGAGCATCTTATCTTGGTGCTCCCCACATAACAAAAGAACCGGCTGATGCCTTTCTCTGGACATAGCCTTGTTGCTGAGCAGCTTGGGACCACTGCTGCAGTCATAGGTCAGCGGAGTTACCTTGAGCGTTGTGCGGCAGGCTCCATTAAGTGTGTGCTTGACTCGTGTGCTTGAGCGAGAGGCTTGAACAGACTTTTAAAGTTCCCCTTCTCAGCAGCGTGTGTTTTCCCCGTTCTCTTGGACATAAACGTTTAATGTTGGTAATTAGGCCTCCTTAACGAAAGTCAAATTTAGGTAGCTCTAGGGGGTTTTTCTGGAGTGACCTATTTCCCATACCTTGCTCTTTGAGGTGGTTACAAGGGCACACACAACTGCCAAACCCCACCAAAACCATATGGTCTGCGCATCTTGTCGCACAGACCTCAACTTTAAAAAAACAAAACAAAACAAAAAAACAGGTTCTTCAAGTGTTCTATGAATTTCTGCCTGGAGTTAAGAAAAGGATACAGTCCTCTTCCTGGAAATAGGTCTCAGCTACCTGTAAAGACAAAAGAAGAAATTAATATCTGAGTCAAAGGACAATCTTGGGAGCCAGTAAGATCTTGAGAGGCTGATTTGGTAGATTACTAACAAAAACACTTTCACCACACTCAAAGTCAGAGGACTTTGTAGGTACAGGACATAATCCTTAGGTCTCCATCAGCTAATTAAGCACAGGCCTTCTCAGGTCACCACGATCTAGTCTAGTTCAAGTCCTAAGCATCACTGAATCCCTAAAGTTTAACTCTTAAGGATTTGGGGAAAGCTACAAAGGTACAATGGGGTGAAAAGGTTAAAATGATGATTTTATTATAAATTAGAAGTTAGAAATGGGGTCAGTGAGATGGCTCAGTAGGGAAAGAGGCGTCCACCATGGCTGACAACTTGAGTTCAAGCCATGTGACCCACATGGTGGAAGGAGAGAACACATTTCCCTAAGTTGTGCTCTGATCTCCACAAGTGTACCATGGAACACACACACATATTACATGAGAATTTACACTATTCATTTCATTTCTAGTTTAAAAACTATCAGCCAGCTCAGGACCTTATGGGAGACTAGTTTTGGTGTCTGCATATGTTTGAGACCAGGTCTTATGTAGCCAAGGCTGGCCTTGAACGCCATATGCAGATGAGGTGACCATGACTCCTGATCCTCTTGTTCCTGGCCTTTCAAGTGGTAGGGTTGTAAGTAGCAAGGCCATAACAGACAAGGGTATGCTGTGATGTTTTTATTTATTATATTTTCTTTGAGTATGTTTGTGTGTGTGTATGCACTAGACTTTGGCATGGGGAGCTGTGGTGATTTGAATGTAATTGGCCCCCATAAACTCATAGGGAATGGCACTATTAGGAGGCATGGCTTTGTTGGAGTAGGTATGGCCTTGTTGGAAGAAGTGTGTCACTGTGGGTGGTAGGCTTTGAGGTTTCATATATGCTCAAGCCACTACCCAGTGTCTCAGACCACTTCCTGTTGCCTGCAGGTCAAGATGTAAGAACTCTCAGGTCTTTCGCCAGCATCGTGTCTGACTGCACAACTGCCATGCCATGATGATAATGGACTAAACCTCTGTAAGCCACTCCAATGAAATGTTTCTTTATAAAAGTTGCCATCGATCTGTGTGAGTTCGAGACCAGCCTGGACTACAAGAGCTAGTTCTAGGACAGCCTCCAAAGACACAGAGAAACCCTGTCTCAGGGAAAACAAACAAACAAACAAACAAACAAACAAAAAACAAAACAAAAACAAGAGTTGCCACGGACATGGTATCTCTTTACAGCAGTAGAAACCCTAAGACAGGTGTCTTCTGCAATTGCTCTCCGCCTTTCTTATTGGTATTAATTTTGAGACTGGGTCTCACTATATAGTCCAGGCTGTCCTCAACTTCACAGAGATCTACCTGTCTCTGCCTCCCGAGTGCTGGGATTAAAGATGTATGTCACCATATCTGTCTAGGTCTCTTATTTTTGGACTCAAGATATCTCACTGGACCTGGAGCTCACCGACTGGCTAGATTGGCTGGTGGGTTAGCCCTGGGGACCTGCCTTGTGTTTTTACACAGATGCTGGGGATCCAGATTCAGGTTGTTCTCAGACTTGCACAGCAGGCACTTTCCTGAAGTCACCACTTCAGTCCTGTTTTTAAATATTTATTTCATTTTTAATCGTGTATGAGTGTGTGCATGTCTCCCCCCTGAATAACTGTTTTAAATAATTTTATTTGGTGCTGGCACCTTAAGTAATTGTGCTACCGAAAGAGTCCAAATTTTTTGATTGCCGATAAGCAAACAACACTGCTGGGAGACATGGGATGGTGAAAGGGATTGCTGAAATACACCAGCCTAGAAACTTTAAGAATGCCTTAACTTTAAAATGGAACTCAAAAAATTTATTGCTTTGGGGAAGGGGTTGTGTTTTTGTTCCCACAGGACACAAAAATTCCTTCAAAATTAGTAAAGATCAGATTTGACTGGGTGAGACCTCCTGAGGATCTTGGCTGCAGAAGTGAGAGAGGAAGGCAGGAAAGACTACAGGACAGGTCACATGTGTGCTGATCCCAATACATGGGAACAGCTCTGAGACTAGATGAGACATAATAAATCTTGTCGGCTACAAACTCTTCATAACAGTGTGGCTATACAGTCCAAATGACAGTATAAAGTTGATAGATGTCTTTTATCTGCTCAAACATAAAACAAATCATCTTTAGCTGACTTACGACCATTGTACATTCCATATTTATATTAATACAGATATGTATGTTACCTTTAAAAGTTTGTATGTTTTCAGAACAAAAGGATTGGACGTGAATAAAGACAAGTAGCCCACATGATTCAGCCTCTCAGAACCAGTCTGTTGCAGTTTTCTCAAAATTCTGCATCCATAACAACTTCAAAACAGTTAGCTGGGGTGGTCCAGCCTCACAGATTACTCTAGCCAAGACTTCAGATAAGTTCTACACTTTCCTATTACACAGAGACTAAACAACAACAACAAAAATAAAGTCATCTGTGCTGGGACTGAACCACTATCCCAGTTTCCCAAGGGCCCCCTAGAAATGCCATTGCCCCTAGACAACAAGCAGCAGTCTAGAGAACACGATGCCCACAACCCCAAGAGGTAGGGTGGATGGTCATCCAATGAACACTTTTCATTGTTTAGGGGAGTTGGTTACAAGTTGTTCTTGGTCATGGTCAGAGGGGAAACTAAACAAAGGAGGTTAGATTCAGAAATATAAACAAAAAAGGAGGGGTAGGTATAGGAAAGGATAGATTGATAAATCTTTTAAAATAAAATGATAGGATAAATGGAATGCAAAAACTAAATTAATAGAAAAATTTTAAAAAGATAGGGTAAAAAAATAATTACTGTATCTTCTTTTAAACTAAAAAAACTACGTCTCATATATTTCACATTGGTATGAATTTTTGCATATTGATACAAGTTTAAGGTTATTTTTGTTATAATGTATGTTTCTACTCTTGTTTAAGGTATTGCACCTATGCAACTCATTTAAAAATGTAATATATAATTAAGAAATACAGGTTAGTAGTTAGTCATCTATGATAATCAAACTTGTCATGTTAGGTATGTTTTCAAGGTTAAGCCTAGGTTTGTTTAGCTCAGGTATACTTAATAGATAATGGTCCCCAAACTCGTCAGAGATCTGATGAATGTGGCGTTTAAATTGTTTAACGGAAACCGCTTACTATGACAGCCAGAGATTCCCAGATCCTAGCAGTGACCCTAAGGTCTCCAAGGAAGATGATGGGGCACCATGATGTCTCCATGGATTGTGGCAATGCTAAGCACTGGGCGGGAATGTCCCAATACAGCATCTGCAGCCAGGACCTGGCCCTGACTGTGGACAAGCAGGACACTTAAGAGTTGATTGTCCTACATAGGGCACCATTTGTAGGGAGTCTTTTTTCTGTCCCTGTGGCCAGCAATCAGATAAACAACATGGAGACTTTTTATTAATATAAAAGCATGGCTAATAGCTTAGGCTTGTTTCTAACTAGCTCTTACCACTTAAATTAATCCATTTCTATTAATTTATGTGCTGCCATGTGGCTCATGGCCTTTTATCTCATCTCCTATGTATCATGCTTCCTCTGTGTCTGGCTGGCAATCCCACCTCTTCCTAAAATTCTCTCTGCCCCTAAAATCATGCCTAGCTTAGCTTTTAATTAAACTAATCACAATAACACATCTTCACACAGTGTAAGGGAATATCCCACAACGATGGCGCTACCAGTGGAATGCTGAGAAACCTTTCAGAGTTGGTTCTGAGGTGTTGGGGGCCCTGGCGTGTGCTGTGTGCACATTCCTGTCACGTGCAATATGAAGCTGACAACATCTGGACGTCACTCAACACGATCACCACGAGCTAGAAAAAGCAGGTTCCAGAGTACCACTGAGTTATGTCTAACAGAAATTGCTAGAAACCTTTCATCTACAGATTTCCAAAGAAAATTAAACAGTATTGCCCTTTAAAGTCATCACTTTGCCTTTTGTATTTTGCTCACAGTTAGTTACTAATTGCTGCTCCCATGTGAGAAGTTTTGATGGGTTTCATTCTTACTATATAATCAGATGGGGGGGGGGTGAAGATATGTATCTTCAGTCTGTTTTTAGGTTTCCATGGCAGTTTTTGTTGTTGTTTGACCTTAAACTCACTATGTAGACCAGGCTGGCCTCGATCTTGCAGCAATTCCCCTGAGTCAGCCACTCCAATGCTGGGATTATAGGTGAACACCACCCCATCTGTGAGTTCTATAATCACCAGGGTAACAAAACCCCACACTTCAAAGTAAAGTATTTCTAGGTGAAAAGGGAAACTTCAAAATAAATATGCAGAATATTTATGTTGTAAAAATCCCCTCCATGTAAGTTGAGCAGGACAATGAGGCAAACTTCACTGCCCTGTTTATCTAACCCTGAAAAGCAGCCTAGTGGAGCAGGTAGCTCAAGGCCTTTATAGGTGAACCACCAGTTGTTCTAGTCCCAGTTCTGACACTTAGTGGCATTTTTATTTTTAAAATGGTCAGAACCACCCACATCTGTAAGAAACAAAGCCTTGCCTTCTACCCCAACTTCCCTAGTGTTTGGAGGTACACCAATATGCACTGGGCTCAAGCTAAACTTTGAGACATTGTTTCATACTGTAGCTCAGGCTGTACTGGAAGTCACTAAGCAGCCCAGGTTGACCTTGAACTTCCCAAGATCCTCTTGACTCAGCTTCTGAGCACCTATGTATCATGTGGCTCGTATGTCCCGTTTCTTGACTTCTCATGCTTCAACAGAGGACGAATTGCTAAGTTCTTTGCTTGTGACCATCCCAGCCTTACAAATACACACAGTCATTTTCCCACACATTCATCTGTCCCATGTTATTATACTAAGACCCTAAGCAAATATCTCGTTTACCTTATAATAAGCCACTCCATACAGTAAACTCTTTTCTTGGCCTGAAAGAAGTATTCAGCACACATCCTACCCCTGAGCTATACCCTCAGCATAGTTACATTAATTAACAAAGCAATCCAACTGGGGCTGATTGGGTGGTGTCCCTCCCCCTTTAATCCCAGCACACAGGAGCAAGCAGATCTCTGTGAGTTTTGGGGCCAGCCTGGTCTACATAGCAAGTTCTGAATTCTGGAGTTACATGGTGAGACCCCATCTTAAAAGAGAAGGGTGGTACAGGGAGATGGCTGGGGGGTACAGTGCCTGCTGTCAAGTCTGATGACCCAAGTTAAAACCCTGTAGCTCACACTGTAGGAGGGAAGAAAGAAATGATTTCCACAGGTTGCTTTCTCACCCCACAGGTGCTGTGTGTGAGTGAGTACAAACACACAGGCAAAATAAACAAAAGGAAAACTTTTAAAAGATTTCACACATTTATTTGTGTACCCCCCTTGTGTGTATGCTTGCGTGAGTGTGTGCATGTGAGTGTGTGTGTGTGTGTGTGTGTGTGTGTGTGTGTGTGTGTCTGTGTGTGTCTGTGTGTGTGTAGTGAGTGCACTGTCATAGGATAACTTTCAAGGGTCAATTCTCTCCTTTTACTGTGTGGGTCCCAGGAATTAAACTCAGGTCATCAGGCTTGGTGAACCAGCTTGATGCCTTGATTCCAATTACTTTTTAACTGATAAAGATATAAGTTCTAGTTTTTAAAACTACAGACTATACAATTGCCATCTATATTCATCTTTTCCTTTTTAGTGTGCAGTTTTTCTATGTATGCCTCACTTAAGTAACTTCGAATACTCAGACCAAAAAGGTCTAAATCTTCTTTCAATATGTTCAGATTCAACAGTATTCAGAAACAAAGCAATGACTGCGGAATCTGCCCCAAGATTTAATCTGCTGGTAGCAGTACCATCTGCCTTCCTACGCAGCTGTCACCTTCAAATTTCCCTTCACCTAGACCCGTCCCTTTCAACCTGTGGGTAGAGACATCAGATGCCAGATACGCTGCATATCAGATGTTTACATTACAGTTCCTAACAGTAGCAAAACTACAGTTATGAAGTAGCAATGAAATAATCTTAGGGTTGGGGGTCACCACAACACGAAAAACTGTATTAAAGGGTCACAGATTTAGGAAGGTTGGGAACCATTGAGCAAGACATCTTTCCAACATTTGGGAGTGACCTCTAGTCTCCATTGTCTCCTATCTTCTGTTGCCTGGTTTATTATACTCTATTTCATTGTGTGGCTTCTTGAGAGAGAAGAGATACTAAAGGCCCGGAAGCAGGAATATTGTCAGTTGGAAGAGCTGCTAGGAGGTTAGAGCTCCTGGAAAACACTGAGAGAAAGTTGGCAGGAATCAAGGGTTGAGAGGTAACAGGCATAGACCACACGAAGCCACGGCAAGGGCTTTGGCTTTTACTGTGAATGAGAAGAGATGTCACTGGAAGGCTTTGAGCAATTAAATAACATGGTCTCCACTGTGTCTTCGCTAAGTCACAGTAACTACTAGGTAGAAGGGGAGAGAGCTAAATAACACTAGAGTAAAGGCAGGGAAGTTTGTACAGTGAAGAAATTCAGATGGTATTTAATGAAGTAACAGGACACTTGCATATTACAGAGGAAGGGACAATGCGATGGCTCTGCAGGTCTAAGTGTCTGTTGTGCAAGCCTGACAGCCAGAGTTTGACTCCTGGAACCCATGTCGGTGGGAGGTTGTCCATGCAGTTGCCCTCAGATCTCCAAAATCTGTATGGTGGCATGTACTTCACATCCCATCATACACATACAAGCTATAATAAATTTAAAATATTTGAGTGGAAAAAATGTTTGTGCATGTGCAAATCATAATGAGAAAACTATAGATATTTGTCAAAATGTTAACAACTGATGAATGCATGTGAAAGGCATAAGGAGATGTACTGAAAATTGCTTCCTCTCCTGTCCGGCTGAGTGTCTCTTGGGAAGTGAACTGGTGAGAGGGCAGAGCTGTACTGCATGGTATTCGTGAACTGGTGACAGCGAGAGCAGAACTGTACTGTGTGGTTTTCCTAAGGCTTTGCTGTGCACCAATCGCTGTACTACACACTTACATTCACCAACTCAATTTATCTTCCACCAGCTTTAGAGTGATAAAGAAGCCGAAGCCACATAGCTCAGTAAATGCCCCTCTACTCACTGGGCTCCCTTCAAGGATACAGACTGCTGGGGTGCAGAGGAACGGCAGTTAGAGGGCTAGGACACTGCATGTTTCTGGGAGAGGGGGCAATGCAAACAGATCATCTTTAGGCCCAGTCAAGATTACTTGTCTTCACGACTGAAATGGACCTTTTTGTCCTTTCTGATTTGTTCCTGTACAGGGATCACCTGCCACAGAAAAGAACCATCTTAATTCTAATGCAACTATGGCTTAAGGATAGCAACTCCATAAAAAGATCTGTTTGCCTTGTTATTTCCATCTTTATCTTAAATATTTTTCCCAACATTTCACTGAAATTCTTCAGTGAAGTTCAAACCATAGGAAAATCAATGGCCACATGCGTTCACCCTTGGTTTGGCGACGTCTGTCATTTGTTAAGTTTGCTTTCTCTCTGTGCCTCCTCCTCCAGCATCTTTTCTCTCCATAAACCACAAGACCTCCAGGGCTAATTTTAAGTGTCTCTAATACTCGCACTTACGTCACCTGGGAACAAGGACACTATAACCCATCACTTCAGAATCCACAGGTAAAATGAAGTTTAGAGGCTTGAGAGAGGCACAGAGGTTAAGGGTGCTTGCTCTTCCACAGGGCTGGTGTTCACGTTCTAGCACACAATGGGCAGCTCAAAATATTCTGCAACTCTAGCACCAGGGGATCCAACAGCTTCTTCTGGTCTTCAAGGGTGTACACACACACACACACACACACACACACACACACAGACACACAACCTTTAAAATGATTTACTACAATGCTATTCATTTATTTATTTATTTGCTTTTCGAGACAGGGTTTCTCTGTGGCTATGGAGCCTATCCTGGAACTCACTCTGTAGACCAGGCTGGTCTCGAACTCACAGAGATCCACCTGCTTCTGCCTCCTAAGTGCTGGGATTAAAAGCATGTGCCACCAATGCCCGGCTACAATGCTATTTACATGCTGCTCATGTTCAAACTTCTTCCAGGTTATTTTAAACATGGATGTATTCAATCCAATAGCAAATTCTAGTGCTAGTGTTGTGGAAGTCTGTGTGAGCAAATGATAATAAGAAGGATGAAGCAGCTGTGTACACTTTTTGCAAACAACCCACTGTGCACATGCAACAAAGGCTGGAAGCCAAGGGAAAGCTGCTGTGGTGAGGCGGTCCTCAACGATGGAGAGTCAATACTGTGTTAGGGGCCAGGCAGCAGGCCATGTTTCCTCAACAGTCATACAGCAGACAGCATATAAAAGTATACCTCTTAGTGCCTGGAAGCAAAGCACATTTTACTTTAAAAATATTATGACTGTTTACTGCAGAAGTTGAAAGAGAAGTAAATGAGATGAAAAGCTAAGGGCTAGCTCAGTTTGGCAGAGTGCTCGTTTAGTCCTGGACTTGATCCCTCGCACCACATAAACTGGGTATGCTGGTTCAGGACTGGAATCACATCACTTGAGGGCAGGAGGCAGAAGGATCAGCAATTCAAGGCATCTTGAGCTACACAGCTAGGGTACATGAAACCTCCATCTTAAAAAAGGAAAGAAAGGAAAACACAGACACACACACACACACACACACACACACACACCTTTCACACACACACACACACTCACACCTTTCTCTAGTCCCAGTGTTAGTATTCAGGCATCTGCACTGGCCTGTCCTTGGGGCTCTGACAGGACACGCCCTCAGCTGCTGCCACTAAGAGCACCACCTGTGCACATTCACTAAGTTCCCTTTTAAAGGGCCCTGCCCACCTCCCACCCTTCCTTCCTCCCTATCTGCCCCCCCCTTTCCTCTCTCCTGCTGCTCCCATCTCTGGAGGTTGCTACCCCCCTTTCCCGTTTTTTATGATCCTTATCCCTAATTTTAAAAATCCCTCTGCTTGAACCCTGTTGCACGGGGTCTTTCTCTTGAGAGCTGCTTTTTTAAAATTACAATACCAAGTACCAATTCATTTTAGCTGCAAATAAAATGCAAATCACAAATATTTAAATGATTTCCGTCTAGCAATTTTTAAATCTTACATGTATTGCCTGCACGATGTATGTCTGCACACCTCTTGTGTGTCTGGTGCCTGTAGGGGCCAAAAGAGGATGTTGGGAATTGAATGAAATCCTCTGGGAGAGCAACCAGCGCTTTTTAACTGGTCCAGCACCTGCTCACCTTAACCATCCATCTCAAGAGTCACTTTCTTTTCTCTGTTGCGGACTGGGCAAAGTTAATGCTGAACCGTAGACTTGTCCACTCTGACAGCACAAAGCCCCACAGTTGTATCTACATCCTTCTTTCCCATTTCACCATGGCTCTTTTCAGAACCTGCCTTAGGAAGTCTTTGTTCCTTCAGTGGCTAACAGGCCTCTTGGCATCCAGTTGGAGCTTACTAAACTCTTGCCATATTGATTTCTCTTTATACTTAGCTGAATCACCAAATACAGGCATTGGCTACTATCCAAATGACAAATCATCCAGGCTACAGCGTGTCCACCCCCTAGAATAGGCCAGATTTCCTACCAGTCATGCGTTTAGGGTCAACAATGGCAGGGAGGGATCAATCATGGAGAACCGGATTTCAATGACTCCAGACGCTGGCAGCAGCGTTAGTGAGACTGAGAGCAAAGGCTGTGGTCTTACCTGATGGAGGAAGAGGGGAAGTGCTCTGGAGTCCATCTGCTCCACCTCCCCTCGGATCAGGGAGAAGAGTGGCTGCAGTTCTGGCACTGGAGCTTTGGGGGGGTCATTTGCATTCACTCCAGCAGCCTCCTCACCAGCGGCCTGCAGCTCTGCATTCGATGTCTGCATTAAAGGTGTGGCGTCTCCTGCAGAACATGAAGGGAATGACTGCATCAGGCTAGACCCCATCATGGAGGAATGCTTTCAACTACCACCCCCACGACAGTGAAACTTTCAAGTAAAATTAACCATATGGAAAAACGACAACAACAACAAACCAGAAACCCAAATTATTGTCCTCCTTCAGTTAGTGATTTGTGCTCATGCTTTGCAACCATTTCTTCAGAACTGTAACTGAGTATCGGTACAGAAGGGGCTGAGGAGGAAGACAGGTAGCTCAGTCAGTCAAGTGTTTGCTTTACAAGAATGAAAACCAAAGTCAATGCCCAGAAGTCATATAAGAAAAAGCTGGGCATGGTAGTACACTCTGGTAATTCCAGTGCTGGAGAGAGACAGGGGGACTCCTGAGTCTCTCTGGCCGGCCAGCCTACCTCTTAGTAAGAGATGGTCTGAGGAAAAACAAAGGTGGTTGGCATCTGAGGGCTGATGTCTAATGTTGTCCTCTGGCCTCAATATGGACACACACACACACACACACACACACACACACACACACACACACTGACACACATTCACACACACACACATTCACACACACACTCACACACACTCACACACATTCACACACATTCACACACACTCACACATTCACACACACTCACACTCACACTCACACACACACACTCACACACACTCACACACACACACACACACACACTCACACACACTCACACACATTCACACACACAATCATGAACTTCAGCGATGTATCACCCACACCTCTATTTTACCTCTTGAGACAATGTTCCCTACTGAGATAGAGTCCATAAGGCAAAGAGCTTTGGACAAGGAAGGAGCCAGCTATTTTTCAGAGTGACCTTAGAATGTTAGTCACTATAAATGGAGATAAGTTCTCAGATCTCTCTCCTAGATCTGACCAACTAAAACAGTCAAGATCCTTACAGAGACTCTGATGAGTAAGTAAAGGCTCGGGCGTTCACATTTGTAATCCCATCAGTTGGCAGGCAGAAGTTGGAAGGTCTGAGGCTCCATGCTTTCTTGAGCTACTCATGGAGTTTGAGGTCAGACTGGGCTACAAGAGACTCCGTCTCAAAACAACAATAGCACTGGAGAGCTAGATATAAGAAAATCCCTGAGGCATGCTGACCTACCAATCTAGCCAACCAGTGAGCCCTGGGTTCAACACGACACTGTCCTAGTTAGGACAGTCTACCTAACTGTCCTACCATACCATTGCTATGATGAAAGAAACACCATGACCAAAAGCAATTAGGGAGGAAGGGTTTATCTGGCATATGCTTCCATGTCACTGCTCATCATAGAAGGGAGTCAGGACAGGAACTGAACAGGGCAGGAATCTGGAAGCAGGAGCTGATACAGAGGCCACAGAGAGTTGCTGCTTACTGGCTTGTCTTCATGGCTTGCTCAGCCTGCTTTCTTATAGAACCTAGGACCACCAGACCAGGGATGGCACCACCTACAATGGGCTAGACCCTCCCAAATCAAACATTAATTTAGAAAATGTCCCACAGTCTTGCCTATGGTCCAGTCTTAAGGAGGCATTTTCTCAATTGGGGTTCCCTCCTCTCTCATGAGTTCAGCTTATATCAAGTTAGCATAAAAGTAGCCTTCACAGAAACTCAGTCTCAAATCTCTTTCCCTCTCTACCTATCCATAATATAAAATAATACAATGGACAGAAACTGAGGAAGACAACTGACATAAATGACTGACCTCTACAATGTGCATGTAAAATAAACAGTAACATTTGTTTAAAAGAAAGAATTAAGAGGCAGTTGGTGTTGCTTGATGGTGTAAGGCCTAGGACTCCATCCCTTACACAGAAAAAAAAAAAAAAAAGAAAAAAGAAAAAAAAAGGAAATGAAAAAAAGGAAAAAATATAAAGGTCATCATTGTAAAAAATTGTTTTAAAAAAATGAAAGTAAGGCTATCTCTCCCTGGCCCTACAAGAAGTGTCCTCCAGTCCCCTACATGAAACACAGAAGGTTTTCAGGCAGGGAAATAGGCGCTTGCAGGAAGAGTTCCACAGCATTTCCACAGTGGGGTTTTTGTTTTTAGTTCTGCCAAAAGTTTACAACAGAGTTCTATCATGACTTATATAATCATGCTACTGAATAAGGACATACTTTATCTTAGGGACATATAAAGTAGACATTGATGTTCTAACTATATGGAGTTACACTGAAAATATGCCCTTACTGGTTTCATGCCATTAACAGAACAAATAATTCATATTAGAAAACCATCTGCCAGGCATAGCGGCCACACCTTTAATACCAGCAGAGGAGGAGGCAGAGGCAGGGAGATCTCTGTGAGTTCCAGGACAGCCTGGTCTCCAGAGCGAGCTCCAGAACACACAGGACTCCACAGAGAGATCCTTTTTCAAAAAAACAAAGAGGCAGGCGCGAGGCCAGTCTGGTCTATAGAGCAAGTTCCAGGACAGCCAGAGCTGTTACACAGAGAAACCCTGTCTCAAGAAAACAAAACAGAAAGAAGGAAAGAGAGAAAGACAGAAAGAAGGGAAGGGGAAGGGGAAGGGGAGGGGAAGGGAGAAAAGGGAAACTATTTGTTGCCAAGGAGCCAGAGAACGGAAGCTCTGGAAGCCAGGCAGACTGCTTCCAACCTTATTTCCTGTAGTTCTGCGGAGACACTAACCTCTGATTCTAACTTTGCCTCCATTCCTCTGCAGCTTGGGGGAGACAGCATCTACCTTCTAAGAGCATGTGAGCAGTAAATGAGACGGTAGAGACCGCTGGACAAAGCGAGGTGTGCGGTGCGTGTGCCCCCCCCCCCCCCCAGTCATCATCTAAAAGATCATTATCCTCACAGTCATTTAAAAGATCATTAAGACAGGCCTACTTCGGAGACTGGCTCTTTTTTTAAAGAAAAGTATCTGGAGGCAAAGGCTACTAAAGCTTACATCCCCAGTGTTGCAGTGAGTAACAGAAGCAACTATGCTGGAAGTCAGACAGAGTGGCACTCTACAGTGGCCTTGGCATTCCGAGGAGGCAGGAGGAACAGTTCAAGGTCATCCTTTGCTACATAGGAAATTTAAAGCCAGCCTGGGCTACATGAGAGACACCCCCCCCAAAACACACACACACATACACACACACACACACACACAAAGAGCCACTTGGAAGAGTTAAAATACTTAGTTCAATGTTTATCAACACTGTTAGTTTGAACACAAGTGGACTCCCCATATAGTAACATGTGATTGTCTTTCAGCTTGGCTTCTTTTGCTTAGTCAGGACTCAAGTCTCCTTCACACCTTCCCATGGCTTCAGATTTCATTTCTTCTCAGCAATGAATCCTTCAGGGGTTTGTTTTGGCAGGGAAATGATTAACAAAAGAAACACTGGCATAGCCGTGAACTTACAGACTAACACAACCTGCACCTCTCTACTGTACCGAATGATTTTGTAACAGCTACTTGGGCTTTCACACTGTAATACAGAAGCTCATGGCTCGCTCGCCATGTGTCTTTCAAGGTAATTTTGATATTGTTACTTTGAATGATGTCCTATGAGCCTTGTAAATGTTTTGCTTTGAGTAGCTTAATAATGCTTCATGAATTATCACTAAATTTCTTTGTGGTACATACAAAGTTCTCTGGTAAAAACACATTTCTAGTTAGGCAAGAAAATCAAAGCATGAACTGCTACATGTAATTTCCCTCCACTATAAAGTCTCACTCAATATAAATAAAGCTCTTTGCTGCTGTGCATGAACCCAAATGGTTGGAGAGAAACAAGAAACTCCATTTACCTTCCTTTGCAAAACCATGTGAGTTACAGCTAAAATACCCACCAAGCAACTTGGTGATGCTATTTATACGTTTTGCAGATGACAGGCAGATTCATACATAAGCCCTAATTTAACCTAACACCTGTCAACTTTATTAAGCTGCAAAATAGAGTCCACAGTTCAACATTTGTCTGTTAACATTTAACTTAGCTTTTATACTTGATTTTAGCAAAAGGTTGAGAACCCATTTTAGCTGATTTTTAAAAATTATTTGTAACAACTTTGGGGCAGGGATTGGACAGCTTATCTTGACTGAGATACGTTTATTCAGTTCTGTGTCTCTGTACATAACTGATCCATTTGGCTTGGAGCCTCTGCCTGAAGGCTGTCAAGAGGTACTCTGCAGAACCCTGTGATATCAATTAACAGCCTTTGTCTTGAAAGGCTACGGTTGCACCCTGGTAATCTGCCATCTGTGAACACAGCTGAGATGCAACTGTTTGGCTCCAGGCTGGGGGAATAGTGTGACTGGATCATTTGATGGCAAAATCCATGAGTATGACACATTATCACAGACAAATGAGACTTAAAGGATGCCACCAAGAAGCTAGCAATGACAAGGTAAGCATAGTGTGATGGAAGCCCTAGAATTAGGGTTTCAAAGCAAAATGGCAGAAGAGGCAGCCCATTCTTCCATGTCCCTTTTATTAACCTGTCTCTGTTACCTGAAGGGCTGCCTTTGCCTTATCTAATTAGGAGAGTGGCAGGCATTATGCAACCAGAAAGTCAAATGACAACTAGTTGGGTCACAAAATGACATTTAAAGCCAGAGAGGAAAAGCCAGGAATAAAGTTACCCTCAAGAAACCAGGGCATTTGAGAGTGCTTGTGTAATCAAGCCATCCCTAGTTGTTGGGAAGATAAATGCTTAGAGAAAGCCTGAGGAGACCCTGGGCTTTCACCTGGATGAACTTAATCTCTGCATTGAACAGGGAGTGAAAGCTGAGGCAGAACCACAGTTTGTTAAAGGAGAGCTTAGAGCCAAGCTGTAAAGCCCTGAAGAGGAACCCCAGCTACCCAGTCGTGAAGTACTACCCTCGGCCTCCCAGAGTCACTGCCATGTACACAAAGGAACAGCGTAGAATGGCCTGTGTAAGGAAAGACATCAAACGAAGGAGAACATCCCGGGGAAGACTAAACGTCAGACCTACCAAAGAAAATAAGTTAACCGTCTC